CCCCTTGTACGATGCCGAAATCTCACACGAATATAGGTATTGCCCCAGTGATCGCGCCTTCCTCCGCTTTGAGACTTGATTATATTTGCCTCACTGGAGGTTGGGTACCTAAACGCCTGCAACTTTATGGACTATACACACATTAACCTACCTTGGTGGTCACAAAGACGTCCTCGCGTCGTAGGCTAGAGGAAAGGAACTTTTCCTTCAGTGCCTTTCCGACGGCTATTTCGTTGTCATAGTAGGCGGCAGTATCGATTAGTCGATACCCCGCGTCCAATGCGCAGGTGACACAGGCCTGGGTGACGTCATCAAAAGTCTAAAAGAGCGAGAAAGATGAGGACACTATGTCTCAATTTAGGGTCACGTACTGCGGCAGTTCCGAGACCCACGAGTGGTACTTTATTTCCGTTTTGCAACTCTATGCAAGGACATGTAGTCATTTCTCTCTGAGGTCTGAAGAAAAGAAAACAAAAAAACACCGACAAAGCGAAAAACCTGTGCAGTTTCGTAAGTCGTTATGATGAAAAAACGAGAATTTACGTAGAGGAGCACGGCCCACCCTTCGGAATTAAGAGTGAATTCGCCTCGACAGGCCAGGACCCCAATGCACGCTAATTGTGCTGCTAGCTCTGTACAAAATGTATTTTTTTAAACTGCACAACTTGGATTAGGCGAAACTCTTTCACAGGGCTACAGCAACGAATACGATCAGAAATCGAACTATCTAACCTCCTATTAACGAGCATAACGTGACTGCTTGGTGTTAAATATGAAATACCGCTTTTTAGTTTCCGAACAATTATTTTCATGGTGACCAGGTGGAAACGGTGCGAGGTAGATATTTACAAACCTCAAAGATGTGTTTCTTTTCGATTTGGAATTCATTATTTCAAATACGTTGAAACCCAAATAGTAATCTAGGTCCCGTTTTTTCCAAGCGCTCTATCTTTACGTGAGCCTACAGTGCCTACCCCAAATATGACTGCCCTTCCATAATCTAATAGGACCTGCTCATTCACCAGACACTTTGATTTAAAGAAATGAAAAGCTCTCACAGGCCTGTGAAGGAGACCAGATGCCAACGGCAGCAAATCAAAAAGCGCAAAGATACGAACGCATGGCGCTCCTGGAACGCCGTTGGAGAATATCGATCGGCACGGGAGACTGAAGACCAGTACATGACAGGGGGAGGAGGCATTGATTTTGGGATTCGGAGCATATTGTATAAAATCCTTGTTCGAGGGTAAGGTCTAATCAGAGTGCCGGAAGTCCGGCTTTTAGCATTTAACCATTCCAAGCAGAATCGGCATCCCAACTTCTAAGACGATATTTAGATTTCCTTTCACTTCCCAGACAATTCCTTGTGTTCGCCGTCGTCTTTTACGTGGTCATCGTCCTCTTCTTTTTCTATGTTCCTGTAATTCTGTTCATTTCAAGTTAGCAGTATGTCTTGAATGAGGAAGTTTTGTTTGCCCTAGTCGTTTTCAGTACCAAGTAATTTTTTCTTTCAATTGTGATTTCGTAATAAAGAATAAAAGTCTATAGCATATTTTCCCTGGTGCAATTTTGAGGATTGCGTAAACAGCAGAATTAATTGGATCCATAAATTTCGAGAGTGCTTATTGGGTGCTTCCTCTCGTTGCATAAGTTGAATGCAGTAAGAGAAACTACAGAATAGCTCGTACCTAACGCTACCTGGGGGCAGTCTATATACGGTGTTTTAAGCCCGACCTATGTAAACAGACGAAACACATGGTGAATCTAACTTTGCCGTGGTAACATCCGGCTCCCTGATTACACATTTCCCTGCCCACCTGGCTTACTTTATTGATTAACCTTCGAGGCTATTTTCCATGACCTTGCCGTTTGCATTGGTATTTCTGTACGAATTAAATTCTGTATTTTCTCTTACGTCAGTCACGTTATGCAGCGAGAGGAAACAGCTGATGAGCACTCTCGAAACTGATGGATCTAATAAATTCTGCTGTTTACGCAATCTCAAAAAAAGAATGAAACAGCATACCAGCGGCGCTTGTTCGCATAAAATATGTTTCGATTCGACCTTCCGTTCTACCAGTAGCCTTGCGCCTATTTCCCAGGAAACACCTATTCCCATGTCCAGACTTCAGAACTTACCCCCAACACTAGCCGAAACAGTCGCAGAAAGAGTTTAGGTGTGCACAGGTTCGAGTCTTCTTTTACTTCTCAACTAGCCGAAACTTTAACATGCATCTCCCGAACCCCGAACGTATCCCTAAACCTGAACCCGACTCCGCTGGTATGTGGCACAACGCCTCAAGTAATACGGTGCGGCGCTTCCAATCGTGACCTATTATTGGTTCACTGCACAAGTGATGCGCAGCACCCGGAAGAGAACATAAAGTGGCCGACTAAATTTGGACGAAATCATACAGGAAGCACTACACAGTATGTAAAATAGGCTGTAAATCTGGAAATGTATTTCAATGGCTCGAAAATGCATAATAGTTGACTAGCACTGGCAAAACACTGTTCAAGCGTCCATAAAATAGGATTTCAGACATATGCAGCGCATCAGCAGTCAAACCACCAGCACGCACTGTGGTGTGCTTTAAACAGAGAAAAGAAGACGTGGGGGATGCACTCGAAGCATGCATTTAGACGTCTTTATTAAAAAAACTTAATGTGACAAAGAGTACTCAAGGAGGGTATAAGAACAAAATTTTAAATCCAAAAACAGTAAGTACGGTAGCCAAGGAGGGGAAGGGGGTATGAGGTGTCCGAAAATTGGGTTGTCTCTACGTCATCGCTCTAAAGCTGTTTCATGATGAGTAATCAGAAACGTACGTTGGCCAAACTTTACTTCCTAAAGGCTTACCTGGGCATCATCATGTAAAGTCGGCAGCCTGGCTAACACAGCTGACGATGAAAGGCATCCTCCAAAATTCTAACATCGAGTGAATGCCCTGCATGTCTTCACGAATGGGTTAAATCCAAGCGAGGTAGTCCTTTCGATTATGAGTGAAGATTTGATTAACTTATACGGGTCTTATCTGCGTTATGTTGACTGTGAGCAGATTCATTTATGTACTAATCAGTTGGGAATCGCAAAATCTGAAATGAGGCAAGTCAAGTCGCTAAAAGACGACGTTTGATTAGGAAAGGGTAGTAATTCTGCAAATAAATTGAGTCACATGACGCCTGGTAGTAGGAAAAGAGATGAGGTGGAAGACAGGAAACTGGTTTATGTTACATTAGACAAATGTCCACGCTTCCGCGAAAAAAAAAAGAATTCAGTGAGGTACTGACAACCAGCTACTTGGCACTGCTTTTCTGCAAACTGATTGGTTTTGGAAGAGTCGCGTACGCAAATTTTCGAGAGAAGCCGACGGTGGGAGAAATATATGTGACAAACCTATTGGTCGGAAGGTCGTTACGTAGTAGCCCATAACGACAACTGGCAGGCATTAACCGCAGACTGAAGTTAATGAAGAAGAAGACGCGATCTCTGCTGTTTCAGAGATCGCGTCTTCTTCTTTACAACAAGAACCTGGGTAACGCATATTTGCTTCTATTCGTGAAGTTAATGATGATGAATTTACAGAAAACAGTTGTAATATGGTGTTGAGGAAAGGACACGTATAGTAAATTCCCTATGTTATCGGATGTCAAACAAAATTCTTAAAAGTTTATTCAATCCGAACGTAGGTAATAAATTAAGTAATAATGATAATCGCACTGCCTAGTCCCAATATTATTTAGTTGACCCAATTGTGAAAAAACCCGCAGCATTCGGCGGGATTTGAACCCGCATAGTAGAGGAGGTCTTTACGCGAAGCCAGTTGAGCTACAAATGCCCCGCCTAGCACTGTGAGTTTAATTACACTTGGATCGATTTTAAACGCCCAATTTTGCCGCTCTTATGGAATCCACCAACACGGAAGATTTTTAGGTGCCGCGAGTTTTTTCACAATCGGGTCAACTGAATTAAGCGAATCTGCCAAATTTCCTAAATAATCCCAATATATTTCAGTCAAATTAGGGTGCATGCTTTTGAAAGAGCATTCTCCTGACCGCCTGCAGTTAGTATACTCTGTAAAAATGTCTACTTAAATCTCATTGATTTTCACTGCTCTTATAACTTCAAATATATCTTATAGCAAACATTTGCACAAAAATTTGTTTTATTACTCGTTTGGTAGCAAATTACGCCTTCTTCGAACTTCATACATGATGAAAGGGTATCTTTCGGTTTCTAAAAGGTTTCTCCTTGTGAAATTTTTTTACGACCGTAAACTGTGCATTTACAAAACAACGAATCTGTCCATTGCATAATACTGTTTATAAATAACAGGCCTCAATCCCCAAAGTTTTATGACAGACACCTAAAGAAGCATGACATTCGGGTGGCTCATAAACCAGCAACGACTTTATGCGGCCAACTGGTAAACCTCAAGGATGGTGTTAAATATTTGGATAAGAAAGAAAATATCCATAAGATCCCGTGTGGAATGTGTGATGCCGTTTATTGCGGTCAGACGGGAAAATCCGCCTCTGTGCGAATCCACAAACATCAGCTGGCAGTAAGAAAGGCGAGACCCCTTGTCTCAAGTCGCCATGCGCACCCTGGATATCGGGCACACTTTCGCGTGGGATAAAACCCGTATTGTCGGTGTGTGCCCTTTCAAGAAAGGCCGAGAATTCCTCTAGGCAATGCACTCGGACGAGTCATGCATCAACAGGCACATCTAGCACGCTGCTGTGTACAAAATTCTCAATGAGAAATTGGCGCGACGCGAGCCAATACAAACGGGATGAAAAACATGGCAACAGC